GGGTGCCGGGCCTGGCAGGTGCTTACGGATGCACGTACATGTGTGCATATCTATATAAGCATATACAAATATACATACATAGCTATGAATATATATATGCTTGTGTGCATAAATATGGATATTTATAAGTATTTTCTACACAGTTCTTGCTTCCATGCCGTCTGGCAGCCCAGCCCCAAGGGTCCTTTGCTGGGAAGCCGGTGCGGGGCAGAACCCATGTTTTTCAGGAGACTCCCCGAGGCCCTGGCTCCTCCAGGGCCACAGGGAGGCATCAAACTGTGGCTCCCCAGGCCAAGCCACCTGCGGCACTGTGGCACCTGCCCGCCCCGTGGCTTCCCCCCAGCCACGGGTCCCCGGTGCGGCCTCCGCTGGGCTTTGCCGTGAGCTCAGCCCAGCCCAGGGCAGATGCGCTGCCCAAGATTAAGAGAGAAGGATGTCGTGGCAATGGTGACTTGGGGTTTTTTTAAAGTGTGTAGAAATGATCTGGGGAAGGGCAACCTGGGTGAAGGAGAGGATTGCAGGTGACATTTGAAGAGGTGACATTGTAACGGCTGGTCAAGACTGAAAAACTTCAAGGGGAGGGGAGGGGAAGCAGTGTTAAAAAGAAAAGAGCTGAGTGTGGCAAAACAGACCTGCCAGGGAGACCCTGGGGGGAGAGGATAGTTTTCGGTTTCTGCCTTGCCTGCATGGACTGCACAGCATCATCCGCAGCCCTGGACAAAGAGGGGAACCCTGGCCTGGCTTGCCTTTGCCAAGGAGGCAATTGCCACCGCTCAAACTTTCCCTGGGCTGCCCTGCCCTGCGAGGGGCTGTCCTGCATAATGAATTTGCCCTGTCCCGCAGGGACCTCTCTGCTATTGAGATGGGGCCACTTCATTGCCCAAATCTGCTGCTGCACCATGACCCACAGGGAACACCAGCATGAATGTGTCCTGCCAGAGCTGTCTCAGGTGCCTTCATCTGAAAAGAGGATTTCTCTGCTATTCTGTTTTCTTAACTGGAGACAGTAGGGGGTTTCCTCTCCCCTCACACAGGCACTGTGAGGCCCTTTTTCCCTGGTAGCTGGCCTGACCTGCAGTCCCAGGGCTGGAGCCATGGTCAATGTAAGCTCTTTGCTCCTCACCTAAGGCAATTTAAACCAGTGTCAAGCTAAATTGCCCACACTAAAGCAGAAATCCTCATTTTACAGCTTTGCAGCCCTCCTCAGTAGAAAGGCTAGACATTTTTATTCCTATTCTTCTTATTATTAATTATTTCTGAATATTTCCAAATAAGGATGTGCCCTGAGGTCTGAAGGGGTCTTGTCTAAGCATTCAAGTAAAATAAATGCTTCAAGACATTATTCCTTTTTTTTCCTGTCTCCTCCTGTCCCACTGCTGTACCAGAGGCTGCTTCCAGGCTGGGGGTAGAGCGAAAGCTGGAGGCTCTCCGCTCCCATGCAGGATTATCACAGTCCTGTTTCAGTCTCTGCTTGTGGCTCCAGTCAAAACCTTGGACCCCAATAGGGAGGGAGGCAATTTGTTGTTTCCTTTGAAACTTCCAGCATCTCAAATGCATGGGGTTCCTGGGTGCCTAAACCCCCTCCTTTCTACAGGAGAACAAACTAAGACCTGTTCATCTGATTTCTGTAAAAGAGGGAGGGAATACCACCTGTAACTGTGTCGCTGCATAGAACAAGTTAAAAATCACATATATGCACGCCCATATATACAGTGAGCCTGAATCAAAAAACTGCTTATAAATAATAGTCCCATTTCTTTTTTGCCAACTACATCAAAGCTGTTCTGAAGCTGTGTGCTGCCCAGACACACTGCTTGCTTGTTTTCATTGAAATACTGACTTTCATTCTACTGGAGCAATGAACACAAACCACCCTCCTGAAACTACTGGCTGCTGAAAGGCTTTGTTGCGTTTCATGCGGTATCGTTATTTGTGCCCATCACTGCAGCATCTGAGCTCAAACTGAGGAATATTGGGCTCATGCAGAGGCAGCATGTGTGAGTGTGAGAGGCAGGCATATTTAGTAGGAAAGCAAATAAACAAAATATAAATCTATCTCTGGCATGATTTTTTAAAGAAAATCATTAAAGTATTCCTGTGGCAGGCAGACTTCCTCAGTCTTTCCTTTAGCAGCAGCTACACGTAGGACTTAAGGTGAGCAAGCAATAACAAAGACTGAGGGCAGCGTGGGTTATTTCAGTTTGTTCAGCTGAACCCAAGGAATATTTTCACAGATACATGGACAGAGCATCTGGTCCTGTGGCTCTCAGGAAGGCAAAACTCCCAGGATCAGCTCCAGAGCACCCAGGGTGAACACAAAACAATGTTAGCCAGGTCCATGCAGGGAAAAGAGGAATTAGGCTATTCAGAAGATTTTTTCAAAAGCATTTGCCCACCCACTTAACATAGGCCCTGCTTTATTTGCTGCTCCTCCATATCCCTCATGCCAGGGATTAGTGCAGCCTCTGACCACTTTGTCTCCATTTGCAACCCTGTCATCAGCCCAAGATACATGACCTTGTGACATGTAAAAAAGCACATGAGGTCCCTGATTAACTTCAGAGTATTTTATTCCTTCAGAGAAAAGAAAAACACGTTGAAAGAATAACTCTTGAACAGAATCAAGTCACAGTCACTGGCAAGTGTTTAACAAAATTACCAGGGAAGCTGAAGTGAAATCCATCGATGTGATACTATCTGTGTAGCAGCCGTAATATAAACTGTGACCCCGGACTGTATCTGTGGTCCAGAGTGCTGGCTGACAGAAACCGACAGGAGACGTTTCTGACTCAGATGTAAGAACTCTCTGATAAGCAGTTTACTCCTCACCTTGCTGCTTCTAATAACTACTGAGAAACTTAAGCGCAGTGTTTGTTGTTACTGTTAATGCTATTCTTCATATCTGTGTGAGCGACTGATTCTAACTTGAATGTTGTCTTAAATGTTTCTAGTGGAGTGAGTTCCACAATCAATCATATATAGAACAAAAATTACTGCATTTTGCATATTCATTTTCTACTTTTTATTAACATGAATAGTCCCAAGTTCTGTCATTAGAAGCAGCAGAACAGACGTTCCCAAGCTACCTTCTGCAACCGTGTCCTTTTTAATTCTTTTACCACGTTACCTCTTCTTCGTCTCCTTTCTACATGAACAATCAAAATCCTTTCAACTTCTTTTCACACACAGTTCTTGCAAGCTGCACTTAATATAACTGTTTGCCAAGAGGTGCTGCCTTTTCTTTCTTATTCTCCCTGTGAAAAAACAAAGTAATAAATTCCCAGAGCCTTTTTCTCTTCAGCTATCTGCAGCCCATTCTTCTTGATCCCCCTGCTGTGAGCAACGATGAAAAACATCGCACCGGTAAGGATTCGCCCAGAATACAAACCTTTACCTGACATGTGGTGTTACGGCCAGCGCAAGAAGACTGGGTCACAGGCCTCATCTGCTGAGTTGCCACAGCCAGGGTGCATGAAATGCGTTTTCTGTATTTCAGCTGAAACCACCAGCCAAGGAATCAGATGTAGCAGAGGACAAATAACACAGCCCAATCCACACAAGGCTGGTCCACAAAGTTTGTCGCGTAACAGGGTACCTCTACCTGGTAGAAACCCCTTCTTACAACCCAGCAGCACATCACCGAAGGTGCATGAAAAACAGACTGAGATTGACGGAAAACCAAAAGGAAACTGAGTTTTCAATTCTGTCCCAAAAAGAAAAGAAAATGAACGCTGACATGAATTTGAATTGTTTCTAAGGTGGGTATCCCTTACATATTCAGTGATTCTCTTTATCTTTTTATTAGCCTGGCTGCACAGGGATCAGTCCAGAGAAAATTTTGCAAGGGAAGTGTCATGGAGTTCTTGTCCTTTTAAATTCCCTTCCACAATTTTGTTTGTCGTATTTTAGTGCACAGAAAAGACAGGGGGGTAGAAAGAAACTCATGCTGGCAAGCATCAAGTTGGCAAGTCAGGAGCTGTGGCTTCAGGGATTCAGGCTGGGCATTGGGAAGGAAGCCAGCCAGAACACAGAGACGAGGAAGGTTACTGAGACCACACCTGGGAAAAAGTTGAAGATAACCATATGAAAGGTCAAATGAAAGCAGTTCTCACCCTGGCTACAAAAATGCTGTCAGAGAGAGAAGCAAGTGAAGGACAAAATGGTGTGTGTACAGAAGCGTGGAAGGATGCCCTCATGGCTTAGCGCCTAGCCTGAAATTAAGAACAGGAGACCAGTTCTTGTTTCTACCAGAATTTCTGTCTGATCCTAAGATCATTGTTAGTCATTGGTCAGTGAGTTTCTTGCTGTTCTTCCTCTGAAATGGGAATACTGATACTCATCTAAACCTACGTGGAAGGACGTATCGGTATATACTCTTGCTTCAATGAAAGTGTGGCAAAATTGTGACCAAAAATTTAACAGCCACCACAGTCAACTCCAATTCACCGTTTGCAGTCATTCCCTCTCATTAGCCCTGATCTTTCTTCCTCTCCCTCTTTTCCTGCCTGGTGTCTCTAATTTAAACAGCTAAACTGTGCCTACCACTAGATGGTCATAATCTCTTTGAGGCCTCTAAACATAAATTTTCATAAACCAAATCTTAAATGGAAATCAGAAGTAGGCAGGAGAATAAAGTGTCTGTTGCCATAAAGAGCTGAGGAGGGATAAATAGGCAATCCAAGGCATCCTGAGTGCACACTCCAAGATAATCTCTATACTTCTCTGGACACAGCATTGCGAACATCCTCAAGATCAGCTGATTACGGAGATGAATTAGTAAATAAGAACCCATTTCATCAGGTGTTGAGCGGGACTTTAATTGTGCTCAAGCTCCAAATGTGAAACTTTATACCATGGCCACAGCTGTTAAAACAACAGAGCCTTATGGAAACAGTCTTGGATTACTGGCCCCATGGAGTGAAACATTTTTAATGAAAGGGATTATGCTTATTATTTCTTAGTGCATTGTGTCTTCTTAGATATTCTTACTGTCATGATTATTATTTACCAAGAGAACTGATATTTACTCCCACTTAAACATGTTCACATGCATATTTAATACTTTCCTCCATTGGCATAGTTCTAATATGGTCTTAGGGAAAGTGTGAGATACATGAATTAGTTGCCCTTTATTAAATCTAAGATCCTAAGAAACTTGGTGTGTTTGCTTCTCTTCCACTTGCCAGTTCTCCTATTGCCTTTACTTGATGAAATCAGATCCCTTGTCACGTAGAGTTTAAATGGTGTTTTGTGAGAAGGTGGTCTCCATAGATGATCTTGATACTCACGGCCTTCAGTCTTAGTATAGGTCATTTGTGTTCAGAGTAACTTTTCTTTTCCATTAGAAGGGCCAAGTGGGGAAAAATCCAGAGGAATTGATTTAAACTTTTAAGCATGGAATTTATCTATTGCAAAGGGAAAGCGCCAGTTGTATAAGCTGTATTTCCAGTTCATATATTAGTCTGTATTTCACTTCCAATTTGAGCTCCTGAAGTTTCTATCCAAGAAGGCCTGTGGTAGTCAGACTTAGTGGCAAAGCTCCTCCAGGGAAATGCCTTGTACTGTATGCACAGACCTTCACAGAAGCAAGGTCTAAGACGTATACATAAATGACAAAATGGCCATCTAATCAGGCAGTAGAAACTTTTCCATGGCACATCTCGAATTTCTAAGGAGTATGTTCAATGCTGAGAACAAATATGTGAAAGTTATTTGAGGGGGCTGGATTAATGGAGAAAAGATGAAACTCAACGAATATAGTATTTATTATAAATCTGTTTCAAAAAACAAGCAAAGGAGAAATATTTTCATTCTGATGGAAGATGCCCAAATCCTGCTACTCAGAATATGTCTCTAGAAACCTCTTCCTGCGAATAGGAGTTTTGAGTATGTATTTACCTTTTGTGGGCTCTGGGGGACAGTGAGTGCTGTTTCTGTGGTGCAATGGTGTTACTGTCTCAAAACTTCTTCATGAGCCAAACCTCGCATCCATCTGGATATAACTAGTATGAAACATAAGGTTTGAGCTTTATCTCTGTTTTGTTATCTATAGCTAAGACAAATTTTCTAATGTTCTAGCTAAATTTCTGTATGTTATTGTTGGACAGTCAGACACATGAATCTAAGTGGAAAGATTCAATGCAACCCTCCAGAGCAGCAGCCCAGCCAATGAGGCCTCAAGGCATAACGATTTCAGACAAGGGCTATCGCCTTTTTCTGCAAGAGTGCTCTGAGCACCAGTGACGCTACAAAAACAGGCAGAGCCTTTTCTTTAGCTACGGCTGAGAGCTGACAACATATCCGTGGCCTGCCAGCTCTGCCGGACACTGGTGCCGGCGCAACAGGAGCACCACCGGCGCAAACCCTTCCATTTTCTCACAGGGAGAAACCGCTCC